ATATATATATATATATATATTCCATTCCTACAAAAAACCAATAGTCTCATCTAGAGATAATTCTGTGAGCAGAAATGAACTTCTCAGCTCCATGTACTGTCTGCAAAAAAGCAAAAACTAAGTATAACAAAGCCAAACTGGTAAAAATCAACACAAATGTTGTTAAGTCCTTCTTGCAAAGGTATGAGAAATATGCATTTCATTTGAAATTCTGATTTTGGGGATAATGACGTTGTACATATTTTCCAGAATTTCTCAGTTAATTTAGTGTCTACACTCTCACATGAGACGTTATGGTTTAATCTTAACCAGTATTTCCAGTGTTGGGGACTTTTTTGGCAAGTATTTCAGAATTAACAGAGAACAAAAATGCAACTCAATTGAAAGAAATTCCTTCAACTTTATTTTAGATCTGAAAGAAACCCAACCAAAACCTAACCAATACCAAAGTATTTTTTGCCGCTTAATATTCCTTGTTGCTCCGTTTCATATGTGTTTGATAAAACAGGTTTGCACTTACGGAAATTTTTAGTACCTAGCCCAATACTGAAAATTGTATATTCCTGCTATAATTATGATAATTGCATGCTCTTGACAATTAAAAATTAAAACCCAACTCTTACAAGTCAGTTAGTTAAATTAGGCAGCATCTTATATAAAATCCTTCACAAATGTGTTGAGAAACATTGCCACAGGCTTGAAAATGCTTTAAGCAGACTGGCGTTTATAGGCAAGAATCCAACATTTGAACAGGAAAAAGGATGCGCTCTGACACTTTATACCATGATTTTTTTTAATGTTCAAATGTCATCATTAAAAAATGTGAAGACTTATCACTTTTCTTTCTTTATGGTAGCTAGTATTTAGGGAAGTGAACACACCTTCCAGTTCTCTCAAGTTCAGGTCCAGCATGATGGCCTTCTTCTTTGAGAGTCTCTCCTATAGGAGTAGATCCATTTGGAAATTTAGGTACCTTCCTTTTCTCCTACAGAACAAAAAAAAGAAAAATAATCATACCTTGAGACTTCCTTTACACTAAAAAGTAAAACTCAGAGACAGAGACTGCAGAGACTCTATGCCTTCTAAACCTTTTTCATATTCCCAGCTTGCTTATCAGCAGTCCTCCATTTGCCAAATTCACATTCTGTTGAATACAGACAACTAGAACTGCACAACCCTCCCAAAAAGATCTTATTAGTACCTTGCACAACAGTATTAATCTTCCCTCTTTCTACAAGAAATACGTCCCTGAGGCATGCTGAAACAAAGCCCACCTTTTCAAGACCCAGTAGAGGCTCAACCATGAGGTCTTTAGATTTTTTTTTTATTTTTTTTTTTAAGATTTTTAGCAAATCTTTCGGGTTTTTTTTCTTGATCATTTCCAGAGCAGAAGGCTCTAGCTTCCAACAGAAACTGACCTCAATTCATGAGACACAGAGTATTTAGTTGAAGTATGAACGAGAAGTCATTCCTCTATTGAGCAAGCTGCTCACCAGCTCCTAACAAATTTCTCAGCAGTTTGCCTTCCACAAACCGCCAGCCCTGCTTATTTTGGAAACGAATTAAGTGGTAGCCTCAGGATATTCATAAATAAACTGCACTGCTGTCATCCCTTCTCTTCCACCCACTCCCCCAAACCACCATGGGACTCAGCACTAACATCAACCTTCTGAACCAAGAGCTCTGGTCTCTCCCCCACTTTTGATCCTGGTGACAGGAATTCCCCTCAGTTGTAAACAGGGAGACAGGGAAGAAATCAGAGTCCCTCTTAGGTCCAGCTTCCCCCAGCTCTCATTCTACACTCGTATCACAATTGAGTAATACGGCCACTTTTATATATTTCATAAATATTCTGTGAACATTATATGCTAGACAGTATACATTAAAACATTTCAACCAATGTTGTATGCAAGTAAGAGTTTTTACAAGAATTACAATATTCTTGCTGATTATTGTTACATTAATAATAAAGTTTATAATATGAACTTGGATACAATTTCAGACCAATTCTCCTAGATGTCTCATGAACTCATTTCAGTATTGCAAAAGGAAAGATAGTAAATACAATTTGCTTAAAAACGTAGCAGAAAACCGATTAACACCTTTTTTTTTTTTTTTTTTTTTTTTAAATTAAATGGACAACCACTTTTTCTTCCAAATGGATGTGGGGCCTTTCCTGATGCTTCACTAAAGCTTATACTCAGTACACAATTTATTTGCATTTGGAAATAGCATTTTCAAAGTCAAAATCATGGGAACTCTCTACTGGCCTTTTTTTTTTTTTTTTTTTTACCTGGGAAGGAACACTTTTTGGTGGCTCAATTCGTATAGATGGATCCCATTCTCCTGGGGGCAAGACTGTCACTTGGTCTAAAAATTCATCAATTCCTGACAACAAATCATTTCGGTCTTTTGCTTTGTAGGCAACATCATGGAAAACCTATAAGAAGAAAGTACCCAATATTAATTTTCATTTTATTTTTTTGAAAGAGTAACTGATGACAATTAACACTTGATTATTTTTAGTAAGTCATGGGAAATCTTTTAAAGGACCACAAAAATTAGGCTTTTAATTTACTTGCATAGTTTTGCATTAAGAACTACCTGTATGCACATCCCTATGGAACATAAATAAGGAAGTGCTATCTTCAAACTCAAAAGGAATAGAGTTAATTTCTAAAATTTTAATTAAAAAGTTAATCTTCAATATTGAGTACATCAAGTCTATGTATTGTTGCCTGAATAATTCTGCTCTACAGCTGCTGTGCCACTATGTTGTACTAAATCAGGACAAAAATACTTTAACCTTCAAACCAAAATACAAATTTTTATTAAGAATAAGAACTTCATTTGTATACCTCTAGCTTAATTAATTTTAAGACTTCTTTAAAGCACATGAAAGCAATCCTACCACTACTAAAAAAACGCCAACCCTACACTGTTTTACAGACTACTACAACGCAAACTCTGAATTGACAAACAGGTAGTATTAAAAAAAAAAATAATTTCCTGAATCCCAAGATGCATTTTATACACAGAGAGAAAAAAATGCTAGTTTTGCTATAAAAAAACCCTGTTCACAGAAGATGATCCTAAACTGCTCCTGTACATTTGAAACCTGAACTGCATCTCCAAAGACCTGACCCTTAAGTCTTCTAGTTGTAAGTTAGATCTTTTAAGCCTATTTAGGTCTTTAGACCACTGCATAATTTATATTTTTTTATTTCAATGATCTACAGTATTCCTAAAAATCAGCCTACCTAAAAAATTAGAAGCTGCAACTAAAGTTTGGAATATTCAGTTCTCACACTGAACAAATACTGTATTCACAGACTAGTTACCCAATTGTAAAACAATCAATCTCTGGTTTACATTTTCAAGCTTGAAATTTTTCTAGAGTAAAGAAATAGAATTTCTGCTAGATAACCCTAATACCGTTCAGTAGGTGGCGCTCAATATGAAGACAGATTTAAAACATCCTAATTTTGCTCAGGAAGATGACAGTAGTCTTAAAAAGTCCCAATTTCCCTGTGCTTTTTAAAACCATCCACCAGGGCTCTAAGTATATGACTTCAAATGCCTAGTAAAATTCGAATTTTAATAATTTGACCTCACTTTGATTAAAAAAAAAAATGTGTGACTCCTCAATTGCACACATTCTTAAACTTACTGTCCTGAACACTTACGCAGTTTGCTGTGTCCTTTTTGACATACAGTGACTCACATCAGACACAGTTCTATTTAATAGTTCTATTTCCTAATTTAATATAAAAATGAAATCTATATGCCAAAGCTAAAATATTTTTTCATAAATACATTTATGATTTCTTCAAGAAAGATAAGGGGGGAAGTTAATTTACCATTATCTAATTCACTAACACAAGAAATAAGTTTACAGTTACTCATTTAATCAGTTTTGGGTTTTAGTCTTTAACCTGTTACTCCAGAATACATTCATTGAAAACAGTTGGTAAATACATTATTCTAGACTTCTTTAACTACAATTGTTTAAAATATATCACTCACATCATCTGTCATAAGCGTTGCTATTGATCTTCCAATTTCATGGTACTGTGGAGCTTTTCCTGCTGGTCCCAGCAACAAAAACAAAAACCTGTGAAGAAAGCAATCAAGATGGACACAGCTGACTCATTTGAATTTATTCAGAGGGTTCTTTCAAACTCATGCTTAAAGCAAATTTAGTGGTGAAGTAAATATATCCTCTTCACCATTTTAGATCTTAAAGATTGCTGCAAGACTATGAAACGACTTGCCTCAAAGTCATACTGGTAGGAACTCAAATCCTGAACCAAAATTACTCGGAAATCTTCTTAATTAAGCCTAACTTTTCAGCTTCTTATAATGCCGTAAATTAGTAGAAATCCACAGACTAGAGCTCAATGAGTATTTCTCTGGATTGTATGACCTGTTCTAGCCTCCCTGACGATCACCTCTTCACGGAAGTTAAACCCCCTCACTTGCTGTGGCTGGGTACATCACACAGCGGACACACAGATACAATTCAAGCAACACACTGGGCATATTCACATGGGAATATCCTGGTCCTGTGTCAGTGCAAAGGAAGGGAACCTGCATTTTGAATACCTAAGAAGGTAAAAGTGACCCTTTTGGGAAGGGAATCCAATTTGGGGGTGGGTCACAGCATGCATTAACTGCCAGTCTCAATTTCCAATCAAAATAGTTATCATGCTTTTTTTTTTAATTGAACAGGACTATTATCTTGATATAAACCAAACGGTGAACCTCAGTAATTATTTTACAACCTTCTTCCTATACTCCATGAAAATGAAGTTCTAAGGTACAACACATTTGAAAAAAGTAGCAACTTCTTTCACCTCACAGGACAAAAAGCTCAATGTTATTTTTCCTTTGCAAATTGACTATCCTAACTGAAACTGAGATTGCAACTTCAGACTCGAGTATGCTATTCCAAATCTGCAAGTCTACACCACTGTAAAAAATTCAGGACTGGATAATTTTAGCTATGCTACTACAATAATCTGTATGCCGAAATTTTGGAATTTCCCAATAAACATGAGCACTAACTTCAACTACCCTCTGAAAATTCTCACATCTATTTGTAAGAACACTGCCAAGATTATTTTTGCCTTTCATTAGAGCATATAAGCTGAAAATCACAAAGATAAACAAGCACTTCAATAATTTTAGAACATTTAAAAAAACTCCAAAAACATAAATGTACAAATTTATGCCAAACACCACAGAACAGCCCAATACATCAATGTCCACAGAAAATGAAGCGTCCTCCATGATGACTAATGAAATGACCTGCTATCTGCATCACGGGACCTGCTTTTTGACATTTTGATCGTCTGTGGTAAATATACCCAGCGTATACTAGCGAGACCCATGATTTTTGGGGGGTGGGTGCACCAGGCTGGATGGCATATTGCAGATTGAAAACCGATTCAATGTATTAGCTGCGGATTGGTTACCCCAGTGTCAATCATGTAGATTCGGGCATATAATAAAAAAAGTAAGTTTTTCTACTACCTAGGATATTCACATACAAAGTATTTGTATACAAAGAGCAGAGCTTCATATTAGACAAGACTTTCAGACTCTCCCCCACTGTCATGCTGTGTAACGCTGAAGGGAACTACAACAACCTTCATGCCCACCTTTAAAATGGCAACACAAGTTTGGAAGACTCGATGCTTTTAGTCCAGGTCACCTATTGGTTTCAACTTCTGCACTTTCTTCAAGACAGCATTATTATATAACTTTAAAGCATTCAGAGAATTTTATGGCAGATCTCATTCCTTCAAATTTTGCAGCAAATGACTAACATAGTGTTAAACAAAAGTCTACATTTCTTGAGTTCAATAGAGTAGGTATAAAAGTTTATAATTATTTGAGATCTTAAATGTTATTATTTTATGGTATAAGTAAAGTCAGACCTTCCAGGCATTTATTTACCGTGTAGGAACTGGAACCTCTGTGAGACCTGAGAGAAGCACAGCAGGGGAGAGCCTCACAAAAGCAATAATAGGTCTTTCTAAAAAATCTACTTCTCCCACTAACACATTTGATGCTTCTGCTCCTGAAGGAATTTTCCTCATGAAGTTCATATCAACCTATTCATACAAAGATGAAACAAGTGTTTAATCCCTTACAATTGTTAGCAGAAATTCTATAACATAACTTTAACAGTATTTACTAGACATTTATGCTACAAAGAAAAATCAAAAAGCAAATTAAATATCCCACAGTACAGAAAAGACAAACATATGCAGAAAATGTCAGCCAGCCAGCCAACTAATAAAAAAACCCTATTTTCTAAGAGTTAGAATTACTACCACCTACTATATTCTAGAAGACTCCAAACTGCATAATCACCTTTCTAATATTACTTTTAATGACAAACATTCTGTGATAGGACATATCAAAATCTATGCACAATTAAGTAAGGAGAGTTCATGTAATTACGCATGGTTTCTAGAATGCGATTAGTTATTTCACAGCTGCATATTTCAAATATGTCAAAATCTTGAAAAAATAATTTGTATGTTTATGTTTTCATCCACGAAGAAAATGACAGCTGGAAAATCTTAACTTTCATTTCTGTGCATAATTACAGAATAGCAAGAGAAAATGGTACAGCACATGAACTCTGTTCACAAACACACACACGCACAAGCACCAGCTACATTGCTATCTAGAGAACTTACAGATGGCCTCTTGAGTCCCACACCAAGTGTGCCACAACTACAGTGCCAGGAGCCTGACTCCTGCCCAACAGGAGACAAGGCAGGTGTACAGAAGGACAGGCCAAGCAAAAACATAAAAACCGTGACAGAGGAGCAGGAATAAAAGGCACCTGCCATGATTAAATGAGAACTACAGTATAAGTTAGCTTTCCTTAAACACAGTTATTCAACTTGGCAAACCAATTTTTTTTTTTACAGTGTTGCACAGTACAGATGATTAAGATGTACAATAACTTTTGTACAGCAAACTCATAAAACATATAAAGTAAATCCCCTTTAAAAGCCATCTTTGGAAAAAAAAAGTCAGTCCTATAAAATAAATGTTACAACACTATCTACAAAATTATTTTTGTAAGAGTCTTTATAGCAAATCTGAAAATATCTTCCTCTGCATGAGAAAGTACAGTGGCTACGCTCTAAATTACCAAAATACTGAAAAGATCATCAAATGAAACAAATTTCAGTCCCACTAGGAAGAGTTTCGAAACATTTGACACCTTTAGCCTACGCCATATTCTGACATTCGTACATACAAATTATGTCTTAGTACATCTTGTGTACACTCGTACACATGCATACATGTATGTGTCTTAGTTACAACTAAGAGGGTAGTTACAACCCCCACATTTTTGTTACATAGTTATTTTGTGCTAAACATTAAGGTATTTAATGTTATTTACCTTACTAAAATCAACCGTGCTGTTTTCTCTGCTCCCTCCTGTCCCAGTACCTTTAACGTCTCCACTTTTCCCAGTGTCTAAATTTCCAGGTGCTGACTGTGGAGATGCTAAGAGCCCTAAATTAAAACAAAGGAAATAAGTTTAAAATGGTGCATGAAGTGAACGGAGTATGCGACACTACCAAAACTCAACGTGGCAGCTTGCTTAAAGCAAATGTGCAAGTTATTCAGTAAGAGTGCCCTACATTAGTATCATAAATGCAACATTAACAAGTCACTGTGTTGGGAAAATAGTAAAATAATTTTTTAAAAAATCAAAATTAAATATTGCCCAAATGATGGCCATTTGCAGAACAGTCACCAGAAACAAGAGCTACTTGAACTGCAGAAAAAATAGCAACTGTAGACATTTTAATTGCAACTGCTCTAGTAGTTAGTAGAAAGAATATTCACTATATTTAGAAGTCCTCAAAGACCAAAAGCGAAACACCTCTGCTATCTAGTCTGCTGTGCAGCAATTATTTCAATTGTAAAAAGCTTCGGCAAGCCTCAGGCTACAACTACAAGGAATGATACCCCGGGCAGTTAACTAAACCTGTACAAGCAAACAGCGTACTACATGAAGGATAGACAGCTTGCAAACCATGATTTCAATCAGACCAAAGCTCCAACTATTGACTTGATCAGATGTTACTATATGAAAGGGTCTAACACAGTAGCTAAAGAGACATGTACAATGAAGTTATTCAAGTTAAACGTACACCTTCCCTCTAACATCTCCACCAAGACAAAACCATTTTATGTAGCTTGCTACGCTACTAGCAACATTGAACTGCAGGTTGAGTGAAGGGTGCAAAACACAAGTAATGCGGTGCTCATACACACCGAATTCCATCTTGCACTATGGTTATCCCTACCCAACTACCATTTAAAAGCTGGTCTAGGCATGCCTAGACCAAGCCCAAATCTCATCTTCTGGATTACAGAGCTTTTACCTGTTCAGTTTAATGTGCACTAGAAGTGCATTTGGCCTTGCTTGTCTACACTAGACCTTTCAGATGTGGTGATAAAACATGCTTTAACACGCTTTCAAAACCACATCTAGACAAAGACTAAAGTCTAAACTTTGTATTACATGCAGAAAGTTTGTATTTAGGTCAAGTGTCACTCTAGTCAAGACAAAACCTGAAGTCCTTACTGGCTACCTTTTGGCTATTGTTCTGTCACAACTACTGCTACATAATTACTTGCAACCTCCATGTTTATAATTTAGTAATTTGACATTTTTTAGCATTTCAAATGACAACTGAATTCACTTTATTTGATCGCCAAATTTATTTCCAAAAAACTCTTTCAAAGAGCCATCATATCAATTGAAAACATGCAGGTCCAAGCCTTTACCAGTAATTTTAATTCTACAGTTCATAGGGATATAATGGTATGGGTAGTTTTTCCTGAAGCAAAACCAAATTAAGTTAATAAGCTGTAATTTCCTTGGTGAATCCAAACATGCACACATAATTAGCAATACTACAAATGCTACGTTCAGTTAGCTAGACCAAAAAAAGAAAAAAATCCCATTCCACCCTTCTGCTCCAAGATGTATGTTATTCACAAGAGTAACTAACAGCAATCAATGACCCTGTAAAATCAGGGGTTCAAAGTATTTAACTGCATAAGAAGTGATGTTAAAATGTGTTTGTAGGACTAGAAATAGACCAGAAAAATTACACAGTTGTTGCAGAAGAGCATAATATAAAAATTTATACATATAAACTTTAAGTTTTTCCTCCCTACATAACAATAGAGGTAAGTGAAGATAGAGATGACTAATGAAAGATGAACAATAATGCATCATTTTGCACTTTTCACAAATGCCCTGTGAGCAAGAGCAAGCAGAGACTAGAACAAAAAGTGGAGAGAACCAAGGAGGAGGACAGAATAAGGATTATACATATTAGCATAAACTAACTTAGTATTTCAGTACTAAAGCATTACCGATTCTTCTAAAAGGTTTGCCTTCTGAATTTCTCCAACCAGTCACAGTTAAGGTTCACAAGTTTTGGCACTGATACAGGAACATTTGCCTGATCCTAAACCACGCGTAAACAGTTTTCCTTTTTGTTGGTCTTGCAGGTGGACAGACCGCTGCATGCACATGAGAATACTGCTTACAGGTTTTCAGACTTGAGCAAGCATTTCCATATGATACTGTGCTTCATTATGCACATCAATCAATCAGATATTTGCAGGGAAACTCAGAATAAAAAAAATCATCATCTCTTAATAGCAAAACACTTTTACTCAAATTTCATGCTAATAAAAGAACTAACTTACTTCTTCAGTTCAGTAGATACAAAGTCAGAGGCTACTGCTAAAAGGAAGACTACCTATTAGTTTTTCCAGGCTGCGAGACAGAGAAATTCATCTAGTCTTACCAAGCTACTGAAGGGATAATTATTACTGAAGGGATAACTAAAAACACACAGTACGCTTCTTGATATTGTTATGTAGATATACCACCTGCCTCCTTCAAAAAACAACAGTGGACTGAGTCTTGAGTAAGTTTGGATTAAAACCTCGTAAGACCACTCAAGTTAAAGTACTTATAACTACACCTTCACTAAAGATCATGTGCATTTTCTAGCCAACTGCAGTTAGTTTGATACTGTCATCATAAAAATCTAATGGACATTATCTACTGGAAAAAGAAAGCAAGAAGAATACAGACATTTGCCTCACATCCCTATTTCAGTAAAAAAAATGTTGGGGAATAGGAGTTCAACACATAAGCATGACTGTTCAAATATAATTATGTTTATATAGGCAAAATTTTACAAAACTTTTAAATACAAAGTCACACCGTATTTGTATTTGAGGAAATAAAAATCAGTTTTAAAAAAAATAAATTCCAATGCAGCCTTAATGTGAAAAAAAAAAATAAATTACTTTTAGAAGACAAATATGTAAACCTTTCTGAATTACTATTTTCAGTAAGTAATTATTGTAAGAGCAAAGCTGTTCTAAATATTATTCTGCTCAGTTTTAAGGTACATTTGTCAGTGAACTAGAAGACCCCTTAAAATTGGCTGCTTTGCTGTTGTTCACAGACATTAACAAAGCTTAATGATGCCGGTGAATTAACAGTGTTCATCTTTAGCTGTGAGACAGCTCTCTTCCTAGCTCTACCTATGGAATTCATTATTCAACAGTTTCAAAGATGGGAAAACAAAAGCTGTTCCTGAACTGATGACAAAAGAATTGTTAAAGAGAACCCTCTGCCTGGTTGACTTACTACGAACTGATGACTGACTGGCTGATAAAAATCAAGTAGTAGACAGAAAGCGTGCCCCTCTTCCCTCCTTTTACAGTAATTCACATTAAGTTCAGTAATCTTCCAGCTATTTATAAAGACTAAAAAATAAAAGTTTGAATAGCACAAGGCTAAGGATAGGTGACTGCTAAACAGAAAAAAGCCATCTATTAGAAAATTAACACAGTTCCTAATGCTCACAGGAGGCAAACCCAATTGAATCATACAAACATAGAAAAAGTATTCAGGTTGCAATATTCTGAATTACTAGAGAGGTAATACAGACCATAATCAATAGTGGAATGGACCAAAAAGACTTTTCCTTTTTTTTTTTTTTTTTTCATTAAAACAAGGAAGATCATAAAATCATAGAATGGTTTGGGTTGGAAGGGACCTCAAAGATCATCTAGTTCCAACCCCCTTGCTGTGGGCAGGGACACCCTCCACTGGACCACATTGCCCAAAGCCCCATCCAACCTGGTCTTAAACACTTCCAGGGATGGGGCATCCACAACCTCTCTGCGCAACCTGTGCCAGTACCTCACCACCCTCACAGTAAAGAATTTCTTTCTAACATCTAATCTAAATTGACCCTCCTTCAGCTTAAAGCCATTATCCCTCGTCCTGTCACTACCCTCCCTGATAAACAGTCCCTCTCCACCTTTCCTGTAGGCCCCATTCAAGTACTGGAAGGCTGCTATAAGGTCTCTCCAGAACCGCCTTTTCTCCAGGCTGAACAACCCCAACTCTCTCAGCCTGTCTTCACAGGAGAGGTGCTCCAGCCCTCTGATCATCTTAGTGGCCCTCCTCTGGTTTCACACCAACAGCTCAAGATGACTACTTCTTCAGGGTTCCTTCTGGGTCTGTCTCCCAAGACAGATTAATCCAGCTGTAGCCCTGAAGTCATAGTCTGAGAATGTCTTCAAAGGCATCTCTAAGGAAAATATGTCTTTCTGTGGTCAAGATGATTTCTTGAATTAAAAAAAGAGGAAAAATTCAGAAAATAAAAATGTCTTCCATCATTGTTGGTGTTCATCTTTCTCTGGAAAGACATTTATTTATGGATTAACTGGGAAGTCATCCCTTTCAGATTTTTCCTTTATGAGAAACATCCCCTTGAGGCACAAAAGCAATGAACATGACTTGGATACTCTGGTGGAAAGCTTTATTAGTGATAATAATAGCATCAAGTATTTGATTTTCATTTGTTTGCCTTCTCTTGGGTTCTAAAGACCTCGGGTCTGGCATGCTGTCATTCCTGTCAGATGAGTAGAAAAATAAGAACTGGAAAACCAATTACAGCTGTTATTTTACTTCTGGTTTTTAATTACCTTTGAAAGATCACCCATGAGGGAGAATGATCTTCATGTGAATTCTCTTAATTTCCCATAAAGAAGTGAGAGAAAGAGTTTTTTGTTTGCTTTTCTGAATTTAAGTTAGGATGGAGCCCCTACTCCAACTCAAGATGATGGCCTACTACATAGTTTGCTCTTTCCTTTTCAACAACTTGGCTGCAAAATGTGAAAAAGCAGATAACCACAGCCTTTTCTCTGTCAGCATATTCCCCCCTGCTATATGCAACTGTGTGCCCCTACTTATTAAAGAAGTGAAAGAAGGAAACCAAGAAACACCTCAATGATGAAAGATTTGGAGTGAACTCCACTTCTCCCTCCTGCTCCCAGGCATAAAGCAGGAAAACCTACAAGCTAGATTGTAGGGGAAAGAAAAGCAGAAGGAGCCTGAAGGCTAAAAAGAAAGATGATCCCCCTTAAAAGCATGATCTACCTAGAAGAATCCTAAAAATTATCACTCTAAATGGGTGATAATTTTGCAAAAGTAAAGCAAATATAACTATGTATCAAGAATGCAGGAGTTATGAAAAATTTACTAAAAACAATTAATGAAACAGCCAGAACTTTCCATCCTTTCAACTTATCTATACATCTACATACCTTTTTACATGTAAAGAATAATAGCTCTGCAAGACAACAAATTAATAAATTGCTGAGCTCGGACCTACAATTATAAACTCTTAACTACTTTATCCTATTCTGCATATCAAACAGAACAAAACAGTAATCAAGTGTCTGATGCTGAAGCAGTGCACTAATGGGTAGCTATCTGAAAACAGTTGTAGGTGAACTGAACCTGCCAGTTCTATTGTAAACTACTACTGGTTTTAATGGCCCTGTTTTTAAAAGCACAAAAGCAAAAATAAAACTGCTTAAAGACTTCATGATACAAATAAACTATGAACACCACTGATTACTACATCCTTCCTGATTCTTTTCATATTCCTCTCTAATACTTCACTACCTCTTCAGCTGTAGCTATCTCAGGATGTCAAACACTGGTTTAGAATATTAACTTAACCACTGACAAAAACAACAAAGCAAAACCTGACATGGACTGTAGGTGAGTGAAAGGAAAAGGCCACCATTTTTGACATTTTGCTTATATATGTATTTTTTTTAAAACCATATTCCTTTTTAATAACACAAATGAAGGTTAATTTAAGATTTTTTTTTTGCTGGCTTTAGTTAAAAGCTAAAAAGTTAAAAATGCTGAACAAGAACACAGTCACAACTGAGAAGAAACAAAACATGCAGGCAGAGGTAACAGTAGTCATATTCCTTTGTGCCCAAGTTATGTGCCAAAAACATTGCAATGCAAGTGATCCAGATGCAGAGAGCATCACACATGGACAGCTTAAATTTCGATAGTTGCCTGGTGTTTTGTCAATATTTTCCTCTGTCTTCTTTTCATGGCTTTCCTGCACTTCTAAGTCCTCCTCAGGTGGGTGGATTATTACTGAAGGAATATCATCACTGGCAGATGACACCAGCAATTCCTTGCCCTGAAGTAGACTTGGCTGGGCACTTGTGGTTGGCGGGTGGCTGCAGGTAGGACTGGAAGGTGGTGTGTTTTGAGGGGTAGTTACGGGGGTTGTACACCTTGAGGTTGCCGGGGTTCCAGCTCTTGAAGAAGGAAGAAGGTAATTGAGAAGAACTGACAAACGGTTTTCTCCTCTCAGGGAAATATTTGAGGCAGAGAGACCTGTTCGCAAAGAGTGACGGGAGGCTGAAAGGCCTTCCCCTGAGATAAAACAAATGAAACACCATGAGGCTTACAACAGGGATATACTAAACACACACACAAAATATGCATTAACAATTTACATAGTAAATTGCAAGCTGTATGGGCCAAAAGTGTCATACTCATGCAAGAAAGACAAGAGATATGAGCAAATCTTATTTCAGACATTAGAAAAGTCAGAAATTACTGACGAGTACTAATTAGAAACCAAAGGATATGTGGGAGAAGATACTATCTGAAAGTCAGTACAATTTGTTAATATAACCCCCCAAAAAATTGTATCTCTTGAAACTGACTCTTAAATTTTCCTGGAAGAATTTTATTCCAAACTGCAGAGCAGCTACCATTAATGCCATCCAAAAAACATATTTAAAAAAAGTTATTAGCAGCCAAAACATTACAAGACTTCAGTTAACTGCATCCAATATATACAAAAAATTGTCATTTTTAAAATTCAAGTAGTTTCAAAATGAACATGATCAAACATATCTAATCATGTTAAATGCAACTATCTTCCAATAAGTCTTGTTTTAATAACAAGTCTCCTAGCCAGCTATAGTCTAAATAAGGTTTTGAAGAGGGCACCAGGATGAGATACATAGTCCCTTCTCCATTTCTTCTTGCTGCGACTTACCAAATATCCCCATTTGCCTACAAACCAAAGACCTTTCTCCAAAATCCTTTGTTACTTTTCTTGCCCTATCCAGCTCCAACGTCCTATTAATTTCATATAAAGAGAACATAGTCTTGTCATGGTTCCCTCAGATTTAAGTTTCTAATAGATTTCAGTTCTCCCTTAAGCAGGAAGAGAGACTGTCTATCCTCATATCAGTACTTCCATTAGAAGATTTAACAATACCATTCTTCCCGTTCACTAGAAACACTTTTCCTGGGATGGCAGTCTCCTTGAGAAGAGTACTGATTACTTCTCCTACAATCCCTAAAATCAAAAACATGCTGTTTTCACATACCATGCCATCAAGCAAGGAAACAGCAAACTAGACACATTTAAATCTCACATTTATACTAGGCACAACAGAGACCAATACGTTGAACAACCCTGGAATAATTTATGAGGAAGCGGCGCAAAAAGTATGCCAGGTAAAGGTCACAATTATTCCTCCCCTCCCCATCCAACAATGGAAGAGTGGATCCTACAGATACAAACTTGATTTAAATTAAAATTGAAAGCCTCCAAGATCAACTATTAAAACTGCAAAGCAGTAAAGACAAGAGGACCAATAAACTGGTTGATTTTTGTCTGTATTAATCACTACAGTAATAACTAGACTTCTGCCAGTGTATCTGTGATGAATCATGAACATGAGATGTCCTAATACACAGATGTAAAAAGGAGCCTAAAAAGCATTATGCACATGTGCATATTTGGTTTACCCATTTATTAGAGGGATTATAAAGTAAATCAGTATATGATGCTGGCAAAGAGTTCATCACGTTATATTAGTTTCTTATTTCAGCATATATGCCATATTATGTTGTAGGAATATTATTAAAATGTACTGGAAAGTGGAAGTGATACATGAAAAGCAACTGACAAGCAAGAGAGTTCGAATGCAAAATTCACAGAATTACAACTGGGAATTCAAGTGTTCAAGCATGGGTAGAATTAAGTTTGTATGTGAATTTTTCACATTTGCTAAACAAAACAGGAAAGTCAGAAGTTATAGAAGAAATTATGCTCTTATATAAATTAGTTGTATTTTCATTCTAGAAAAAATAATTCTGAAACTATCAGGGAAATATTTAAGCATGTATCATATATTAACTAGCTAACAAAAAGTATCAGCAAGCTTGGGCATTTGCTGGAACATACCCCAAGTATGTATTGAACTGAGAGCTCCCAACAAGCACTTAACTAAGTGGAACACGCTCTAAGCAACGAGGCATCTTTCAAGGCAGGAAAGGAGCTCCACTTCAAAGAGCAATTAATGAAATCAGTACTACATTTTCACTAGACTAAAAAATTTCAGTTGAAATTATATGTGTCTTAGTTAATACAAGGCAAAAGAAAACATAAAAAACAGAGACAAAAATAGAGGCTATAAGAAATACAAGAACAAAATTATCCTTCTCTGCAGTATAAATTGCTATTTGGACTTTGGAACTGGATATCTAGAGTAAACATACTAACATTCCAGAATATTTTCAGGAATTGGTTCAATAAAAGATGTGGTACAGTCTATAAAAATATTGCAAATACCTTTCTTGGATTTGAGGTATTTTTTCCCCCGTTAGATTCTCCTCTACAATGCAAGGTAAAAATAAACCGTATCCTAGCTAAAAGTAATTTCTTCACTACTAGCAAAGTGAACTTTTTCTAGTCATATTAACATAACAACACTGTATTAAAAACACAGTAATTGCCAGCATCACTGAACTCATTACATGACCACAAAGTAAATCTCTAGTATAAAGACTGAATAAGCAAGTAGGAACCATCTGACAAACATATAAAGCTATGCCACGATGCTGAAATTCCTCATATGTTACACATTTTATTCAAGCATATTCCAAAAAACACTGGGACCAATGCAGGTCTATTTCTATACTTCAAAACAATAATGCATGCTACATATACAGACAGGAGTAGAGTGTTTGAGTAAATTAAAAAAAATATACCGAAATATCATCCATATAGCACATACTGTTACCATTAGTTCTTTGCTTATCAAGAAGGAAACACTTATCTGCTATTATCAGCTGAATTTTCCTTCATCTCCCAGGGAGAACATTATTTAAGAGGTTAGAACAAACTGGATGCTACAACTTATCTCACCATTTCGTTCAAGCAAGTGAGGGTCAGAATGTTTCTTGCCTATATCTGCAAAAGACCGAACCAGGGGAATCCGATTGCTGAATTTTTTCTCATTCTGATGATGGTGCCTTTTTAGAAGAGCCTCTCTCACATTCTCTCTTATGGATTCATCCAGCTGGCCAGAGGCAATCATGTTGTCCAAAACCATATCTACATAACAACAACAACAAGAAATTTATATATATAGCGCCATCAAATCTCTCCTTCACCACACTCAAACACTGCAGTTGCAAACAACAACATGAAAAAAAATTATATCTACTAAAAAAAAGTCTTTTCTTTAGCAAAGTCATCTTCAAGAATCCACAGGAAATTTTCAAAGATGTCACTAAGCAAGCAAATGTGAGAATAAGGAAAGCACAACATGCAGATCCAAAAGACAGTATTTATTAGTAGCATCATTTTAAGAAATAAGTTACTTAATACTTCATAATTTATTGTAATTTACTTCAACTTTCAACAGTGAGTCCCTTTCAAAAAAAAAAGAAAAATAGCATCTATGTATTCAACAACCCTCCAGTAGAAGTGAACACACAAAGACAGAAACACAATGGAGAACAGACTTCTTACCATAGTCTTAACATGGTGTTCCCTCTTTTGAAAGTATATAACTATATAAAAGTGAAAGTTATTGTAGAATGAGATTAGTTCCCTAGCTTCTCTGTCACCTTCAGATGCATTAAGTTCCTGAAGCTCTCTACCAAATTTCATATGAATCGCATGCTTTAGAAGAGGCAGTGTAAAACAAAAGCTAGTTACATCATCTAAAACTAAAATAATCAGCTTGTTGTTGTCAAACAACGTCAAGTTTTGAAAGGGCATCTCATCAGCATGCTCACACCAGGAAAGAAAGCCTGCATGTCTGGGAAAATATCTGCCACAATTTCTTAGCTGCCCTTTTTATTTAAAAACAACAACAAAAACAAAACAAAACAAACACCAACCCACCACAAAAAAAAAACCCTCTGCACAAATCAACACAAACCTATGTGACAACTTCTAAAATATATTTTGCCAGTCTTACCTGATGTATCAAGAACCTAACTGTACCAGTAAACTGCAATTATATAGACCTTTTCACAATGAAAAGTGTTATGGCTCAGAATACCTTACAAACAAACTTATCTACAGCAAAGCTCCTGTCAGCACAGCACAGCTTACTTCTGGGATTATTGGCAACACACAGCCTTTTGTTACAGCTTCTCAAAAGGAAACCTGCAACTCTCTCCCTCCTGCTTTGAGGGAGAGCCAATACCACCTACTAGGTATTCCTGGTTCACCGACACAAGACAATACATTTGTATGCCAAGGATTGTTATCCTACGTGCTTCGTAATGGCACCTAAAATTAACTTGAAACAAATTCATGCAATCTCTTAAGACATCTTAGTTCCAACTAAAATATCTGCTATTAAAAAGAGTGCCATTTACACAGAATGAAATAACTGTTTTTCTTATGTACTAAGATTATTTTTAACACTTGAATTTAGCAATGAATTAAAAACCAAAACATGACTTTTACAAACTAGGTATTGAACACTCTTGCTCAGTAAGTCTGGAAAATAGGAAGGGAATACCAATTTGCTGAGTCAATTTTGAAGATTTCAAAACAAAACAAGAAAATATTTCAAGTACTACCAAAGTTTTTAATGCCAAAACACCTTGTCCTTCATACACACGTTAGTCAGCCCTAAGCCTAGCATGATCCCTGAGAAGGCATTCCACCATGTGGTACCTGTAGCAAGAGATACTGGGAAAATTATGTAAAACTAGTTCAAAGGCATTCAGGCTAAGCAGGTGTGTGTATATGTACAAAAAGGTCTTCAAAGCTGATTTTAAATGACCATGTGATTAGTGAGGACACTCAACATAGTAGGTCAAACAACATGTACAAGATTTATTTCTGCTCACCTCTTATAAAGGTGAAAAAAATACCAGATGTGCAACAATCAACTGCACTAATGGCATCAAGTTAACATCAGCCAAGTTATGATTAATAATTATGGTACTAAAGTGCACAAAAAAGTCCTAAAATGTTCTGGCAGATAATTACATTTCATCTGTAGAAACAAAGACAAAGAACATATTCAGGGATTAGAAAATAAAGGCAAATCCTGGGCCTCATCCTAAAATATATAATAAAGGACGTCCTACTCATCCAGTGTAGTTCCTTGTAAGCAAAGTTTGTAGGATCAGCTCTTTACAACCAGATGAAGAAAACTGCAGTAAGCATGCACATGCCTATTTCTTCAATATAGTACTTTCAAGAACATAAAAAGACACCATCAAAACATCTCAAGGTATACAATTAAAATTTAGGAATAAAATATTTAAAAAAAAGTTTTGCTGCAACCTGCTATCTCATCTAGTGTGTTTGCTCTCATGTCCAACATGACCGTCCCATTAAGAATACAGCTTCGTAGTTCAAAGAGACTGTGCAGAGACAGAGTTGCTACATAAGGCTTGCTCCATCGATCACCACCATCTTCAACATCCTCTTCAAATTTTAGCCACCTGAAATGCATGCACATATTTATATTTCTCCTGGAAGACAGACAATCTGGCAAGCAATCACAGTCTTCCCTGTGGCTTCTGTATAACATGTAACAGGAAATCCCATCAGTTTATACCAGCTTTCATTTTCTTAGACAACCCAACTGAACGAGTGTCACAACATTTTTATCAGGCCTTTTAACCACACTCAACTGCTTTAGTTTTCGCCCATTTTCTTTCTTTTGGTTTGAACAATACCTGTCTATTCATGAGTTCTTGCAAACAGTGTGGGATTGTACCTGTTACTTGATTCGCCCATCTGTTTAATCAGTATTTTAGGATTAGAAAGCTGTCTGAAACACACCGTACACCATGTTCAAGTCTCCTAGGCTGCCAAGTCAGATATTTAAGAGCTAGATAATACTAAGATGTTTAACCATAAATTCATCTTGCTTCTGACTCACAGGCATTATGTAAATTGAACTTCTGCAAAAGCTAGCATGCAATAAGGTAAATAGAAGTACTGAATGCAGAAGAATTTATTACAATGCATATGCAGAAGGAAGCAGCTTAACCAACACAGACCAAAAATAATCATCTCATCCTGTAATGTTCATGCATGCAATTTGCAAAAAATTAATCAAAATACTACCTAAGAAGAATATATGTAAATATTGAATCATCTTTGAGTGAAAAAAATTGACACTAATATATCCGCAATAGTATAGCAAAGAGATTTTTGAGATTGTAGATACTGTGCTCCATGGCTGAGTATTTATTTTTATTTTTTATATAGAACAATAGTTATAAATACAGCCATGTATTTTTAAACACAGTTATACATTTCACAGTACTTGGCATGATCAGTTTTAGGGAAGTCAATGCAGCACCCAGTGTAAGACTGATGGTCTCTTGAGAAATCATATTGATTCTTCCAGAGTTGGACAAAAAGAATAAGAGTTTTGATTTGCTAAGCATAAATTGAGTGAACAACTCCTATAGTTCAGGAAAATTATAACCTAGACCTGGTTTGCAGTTCTTTGAACTAAAATCACTAGAAAATACACCTTGAAACAATCTATTTTTAGCATACCTAGCCGTTTCTTTCCATTCATATTCTTCTCCGTCCCTGAAGCAAAGTTCATCCATTTCAGTGAAGAGGTCATGGGGAATATGTTCATCATCATCTTCAGTACCCAAGATAAATTGCACTCGTTGGGATGGCGTGTCTTGGAGAAGAAAGTGAAAAATTAAAGAATCTGTACTTATATTATGCAAGAAACACCACATTAACAGTTAAATTTCCTACTCTCAGTTAGAAATATGCAGCACAATATCCTCTTCAAGAGGGAAGAGCAACAAAAGAAACATGAACATTTCTTTAAAAAGAGGCTCTTTTAAAATTTTGCATTGTTTCTGAAAAGAAAACATCTGGAAATTTATGTTTGCGTAACACAATTAAGGATTTTTAGCTCTTCTATAGATTGACATAAATTAGCATAGAAAAGTAGAAACTACACAGCTAAAATGTTGAGGAAATATTTTAACTTCTCATAGTATAATGCCTAGCGGAACAGGCTCAGTAATAACAAAATTTAACTACTTTTATTGATCAAATATAAGTAGTGGACTTCTACGAGCAAAACTTAAAAAAACCAAACACAAACAAAAAATAAACCCATATGGTTTTATTGATCTTGTTTCAACTCAAGGGACAGCTTTCAAACTACAAGGGTTCAATAATGTAGTAATCACAATGTTATCTCAAGGAAGGACAGAGAGAAAATCCAGGTAAATCTCAGTTTGAAAAATTTTACTTTGTTCACTGAAATGTCACGCTCTCAGCTGCTAGATCTGAACATACAACTGTATGCTTCCACTGCAGAAGGAAAATTGTCTTTTAGATTTAGACATAAGATTTTAATTACTGTAAACTTCATTCAGAATTGAATTTTGCTTTTGCATTATTGTTCTGGCATACCTCATCATCCAATAACATAATTCTGAAATGAGCTGTTGCATGCAAACAGCATTCATTATTCACAAAAATCTACAGCAGATTATTGCTGCCCGAAAACCAACATATGCCAAGAATCCTCCCATTTCCTGTGTATCCAGGATAGAGATGTGACCAGAAGAGAGAAGTGGATATCTACTTATTTAATATTACTTGCTGCTTCAGAACCTATACAGCAAGACTTTACAAACATAAGATCAAATGATAATAATTTGTATTTGGGAGGGGGAGTTTTGAAGATGGGTGATACAAAGAATTGTAGGAGAATGGTAAAAGGAGACTTGTCAAAGCATTCCCATTCAAAACCTCCTTTGCTTCAGGTAATGGGCCCCATATAGAACATGGCTGTAGTCATAGAAAGGTGATAGTGAACAGTGTGGCATCCACGCTTGAAGTGGAACATTGCGCCACAACTTTCCCATTCATTCTAGGAATAAAACTGGGTTTGAGGTCTTGAAGAAAAACTGCTAAGAGTACTGCCAAATAATTTCTTTTCAGAGAATGATATGACAAAGTCATCACCTCTTGAGGATAAGGGTGGTGTCTGATCCAAAATTAAAGCATAGGATGCAGTATAATTCCTTTCCTACTACTAAAAGACAGCAAGAAGGCTGAAGGAAGTATTTTAAAAGATCACTGATCAAACTACCATGGCAAATGCTGCTTCACAGCTATATTCATACTTTCAAAAATCTGCAGTGACAGAGGAAAAGTAATATAAGACTACACAATCTGAAAAAAGGTGTCTAATTTAAACAACACAGATTTTTATGCTACAAGTATTATGAAGCCCTAGTCTAACCTTTTCAGTGCAGGCGCTGAACATACACACAGACACCTGGATGAAGTCCAACAGCTTACAATTTAGATAAAACATGACCACAAAATCCTTGCCTGATTGTACACAGAAAGACAGTAATACAGTGAGAATAAAAGAAACAGCACAAAACAAACAACATTTAAGCACAGAGTAACTACTACAAGTTTACCTTCAAGAGACACAAAGAACTCCCACAACAGATTTCTTACCATATGATGGAGATTCTCGGCCATCCTCTCTGTCAGTTTCTTTTTCTTTTTTTCTTCTGTGATGCCTGTGCCCACGATGTCTGTGCCGTCGACGGCCTTGCTTTCCAAACGGGACGTGAACTCCAATATACACAGCTCTGTGGCCTTTTCAAGAAAGTGTAAAAGGAAACAATTAAACAAAAACTGACGTCCTGCCCAAATTTAATGTCTTGGTCAAAAAGAGAAGGAGTCTGACAAAAAGAAACCCAAAAGCACTTGGCTAAACTACCTTCAGTGAACTAGTATTACCATTTCTTTTCTGTCCTTCCCTGGTGCCAAGGAACTAGTGCTATACTCATTTTCCTGTCAAACTAAATAAGAAGATGGCCCAATTTAAGAACTCGGTTGAGAAACAAGTAATACGTAAACACAGGCTTGACCTGCAACACTGAAAGAAGCTACCTGATAAACACCAGGGCAAGGCAGAGAAATTACATGATACTCCTCTTGTTTGCAGGAATTCATATCTGGATAGTCGTTACAATGGTGAGATGTAATCTCCTAGTTCAGTTTATGAACTTCATTAAGAAATTACCCATCATATAGAGTCTGCAAAGTTTCTTCTGCTTTAATGAACTACCAATATTTTTTCAAATAGCATGTGACACATCTAGGTGAATCTGATGTTCAACTACTGTTAATGTTCAAATCTGATGTTCAAATACTGTTAATGTAGTATCAGCTTAGGAGCATAAAAGAATCTTATTTGGAAATGTATGCCAAAACATCAAATAACTTACAAAGAAGGTTGGGGTGTTTTCCTATTCCAGAAATGTTTAATAAATTTAGGTAGCACATCCTCAAATTTATATATACTGCTCTTTAAAACATATACTTTCAACATCTTGTTTTTCCTTTGACCTTTCAAATTAAGGCAATACTAGCATCAACAACTTGGCAAAAGAAATCAATCAACGAACTGTTATGAACACATTACTACCATGTCTCCTGTAATGGAGTAAGCATATACAAGAACCTTTTTAATTCCTTTTTAAACAATCTCAGGAAGAGACACATTAACTATAAGCCTGGAGGTTAACACTAAATACTTTGTTTCATACTGTAGAAGAGTTATTACAGAAGACTGACGTTAACAAAAGGAAAAGGAAGTGGGTTTCCAGCTCTTAGAGATGCAAATTCAGCAAATTTATAGAAGACAAGCACGCCCTAGGAGTTGTGACTGTTCACATCATACATGCATATACACACATATATGTGTGTGTGTGCGTATAGCGCACGCACACACACTAGATTAAGGACATTGAAAAATTCTGGCAATTTCAGAGCTTTAAAGAAATAAGAAGTGGTAGTATGTTAAATTTGTTTTCCAATAAAAGCATCTCTAAACCGCCAAAAAATACATGAAACTTTTATAAAGCAGTATTTTTACAGTGCTACACTGAGTAAAAAAAATTAAGCAAAAATCAGTAATAATGCATGAGTAAGTTCAACACTTAATTAATTTCATCAAGATTCCTTTTCAAATTACAAGATCTGATTCTTGACAGACATCCAACATTAGTTTTAATCAGTCAACTGATTGGTGCTATGACCAAATCTGAAATTAAGCATATTAAAAGCTATTTGTTTCCATGTAAGAGTGGAAAACACATTAATTTGTTGAAGAATTCATCAGTCTTATTTATAGAGACAGACTTTTCTTTTGCAAGCTTCTCCAACAAGAACACTCAGCCCCTGCCAGGCAGCCTGACCTTCACCCTCCACAACTACTATGCACAATGCAATTCCCAGAGAAATTAATGCAAATGCAACAGCTAAACATAAATCAATGCGCTTGATGTATACTATGACTAGGTGGCACTATTAACAATGGTCACGTTATTGGTACCATCAGGATACAATGATCTTACGTATAGGGAAAGCAAAAGTACTAGGTTGAAAAATAGCAGCATTACTCACCACACCCCACTCAAAGCTGCCTGGTGCAACCAAGTGACCCAGCACTCACTGCAAATGCTGTTATCATCCCTGCTAGGATTTTTCTTTTCTTTCAGATATTAAATTAGCGAGTATTAAACTATAGTTATATATACAGTTAAACAGTTTTATTCAAAGTGTTTTACTTTTTGCAGGAACTATTTTTTCCTAAGAGAAACTCAAACCTATTTCTGGTAATACAGCATTTTATATTATCAACCTGTTAAGTATTCTTAATGAGATTGTTTTAAGCACGTGTTTTGATCATTGCACAAGAAAACTTGCAGGTGATTACCTTCCAGAAAATTTCAGGAATCTAAAATTGTTCAAGATTCTACTTCCTGAAAAATTAGGAGAACTTCCACATTTTGGTCTCTTGCTGTTCCAATAAATTAAGACAGAAATCCCACATTGCACTCTGTACTAAAGAACAAACAAAAATCCCATACAATTTTTTCAAGAGCCTCCATCTTAAATAATTCACTTTGCTATTGTAAAAATTAGCATTTGTAATAGTGTGATCATTTCCATAGTCAAAGACCATGTGATGCATGGAGGAGAGGTGGAACAAGGGAATGAGAAGTCTATCTCCTATTACAAAATTGCAGTCTGACTGAAAATTTTTTTCAATAGAAAATTTGGAGGAGATCAGATACATTGCAAAGAGACAGGTAAAAGCTAGGGAAAACCAGCCTGAAACAAGCAACAAAGGTGTTCTAAAACAACCTGCGACCATGGCAAATTGCTTTCCTCCCCAAAATGCACTGATCTCTCAGCTATCACTATGTCCAGGTGCCTTGTAGCTGCTTCAAGGTACACAGAGTAGGCACTGCCAACCCGGTCCTCAACCTGGGCAGCCAGCCCACAACCTACAACACTCGATACTACTTTCTATTCCAGATGAAACTTTACAGAGAGTGCCTTCTCATTACCCCAACAGGTTAGGGTATCACAAAGACAGGCAAACAGGCTAGCAATGAGTTATCTTACCCTTCAGACCCACTGTCCAGAAGCTACTTTTGTGTGAAAGGCTGTTTCCTCATGTAGACACTGTCTTGCTGGCAAATGTAAAACAAGAATATCTTCCACAAATCACTTCTGTAAATGCAAAGTGATCAGACTGCTGCACCTGCAACTTTGTTTTGGGACAAATGTGAAATGCTGACAAGCAAGATGATTTTCAGCAATTATTAAGATGCATCACAATCCAATGTAATTCTATCAGAATAACTTCATGTTGAAAAAGAGCCTCTGAATTACTTTGCTTTTTAGAGCATGGGGGGAGAAGGGGTGGCAATACAATAGACTAACCAAGAAAAAATTGGCTATTGCAAACAGCAGCTTATGAGTGCACCACACTATTCCTTAAGAAAAGGACTTTTTTTTCTTTTTTTTTTTTTTTTTTGATATCACAGACATTCATTAGCAAAGGCATCTCTACTACTACCTAGGGAATCCAAAACTACTGCTGTTGAGTATACTACCATGATTACCCAAAACCACGTTGCAGGTATATTCAACTCCAAAAGGCAGGAGTTGAGGAGAACTGCATCATAAAAGTTGGACAAGCTTAAGCTTAATTCTGACTCCACAAAGCAAAGCACTGAGAAGCCCTCTAAAAATAAAGACAGCTGTATTGAGGTCTGTATTCCCTTAAGTTTCATTATTCAGACAGGAGTAATTAATGTTTGCAGATGGACAAAGATTTACTTACAAACACAATTTACAAGGAAAAAACAAAACAAAAACAAAGCCACAGGGATTTTTTTTTTTTTCCTTCATTCCCAATGAACTGAGCAATACAATTTACAGTTCGCTTTACCAAAAAAAAAAAAAAGTCAAGCAATATAATAGCAACAGAGAAAAACTTAACTCTAAAAAGGCTGGAATTCGTATTACTAGCATCAGTGTTATTTCTAAAAGGAACACAACTTTTTACTTGAATATTGATGTTAAAAGCTTGAAAGGTACAATTACGTGACCTTCAAAGCTTTATTCACACAAACATCTGCACCGTGGTACCACTCTAAAGCAAAGCTTGTTATAGAATTACTTTAAACCAATAATCAATAGAATTACTAGACTGGCCATACTAAATTTAGTAATACAAAGCTCAAGAGGTAATTGTTCATTTTAATCTAACATGACTTTATCCAAGCTTAGCTGTTCAAATCCACCAAGAGTATTTACTACTTAAGGTCCTTACCAGTACGAAACAAATTTAAATGTTAGGAGCTTGCTACATATCTCCATCACATGGTTGGTCTTACTCCAAAAGTCAGTTTATATCAAGTCCTATAAAATTGACAGAACAGGAAATACTCTGTTTAAGTTCACTGATTTCTCCTCAAAACCCCTAAAAAAATGGTAATACAAGACTTAAAGTCCAAAAGAGATCAAAAACACGTATCCAAAAATGCTCTGATGTGGCAACCCTGTAAGCACAGTTCCACACAGAACTTTCTTTTTTCTAACCATTATTTTGTTAGCTAGACACCTTTTAAGCTTCATAAAAGGAGGACATTCTTCCACATGTTAACAAGGGAAAGCAAATTCTCAAATCCTGTTACTTAGAAATTTGAACTGCAGAGATCTTGTGTTAATTACAGTTGCAAGGGACATCTGGAGGTGGGTTATCTGGTCCAATCTTGCTCAAAGTATAGCCAACTTCAAAACTGAAGCCATCTTTTTGATCAGGTTGGTCAGGATGACAACCAGCCAAACTCTGAGTATCTGTAAGGACGGATAGATACTCTACAGCCTCTCCGGGCTTCCAACATACCGCATGAAAAGAATTTCCTAATATCCAGTTAGCACTTCCAATACCGCACCTTGTGCGTGCTCCCCCTCATCCTTTCACTATGCACCTCCAACAAGAATCTGACTCCATCTTCTCCATATACTCCCAAAAGTCTGCTGAAGACAAAAAACTTCGTGACAAGAATTACTATTTTTCAAAAAAATCTTCAAATAATAATCTCAAGACAGATCATTTCTTTTACACAGAAACCTTTATTTAATCAGATAATGTCATAATCTATCTTGTCTCAGCATGGAGCTTTCCAGTATGCAAAAACTGGAGGATCTGCAGGAGAGATCCTGATCTGTTCCGTAAGACCATAAAACAGTGAAAAAAAGCAGCTGTTCAATGTCTTCTAACACACATT